TGCCAAAAAATACTGCAACCATTTCTATTAAATGACTTTTTTTTTAATTGATGTTTGCTTCCTTTTTCTCTCATGATATCGTCTAGATTTTAGTCTGTTGTGTAAGAGAGTATATATATAGTGATCGTCTTTTCAGACAGTTAGTTAGCGGGCAACATATATATATATAATTGAGTGATGCCGGACAAATTCATATCATATTCAATATGAGTAATAGAATTATTAGTCTACTCGATTTACCTGATGAAATATTATTGATTATTTTCAACAAACTTGGTTCATTTTATGTTCTTTATTCATTATTGAATAGTATTCAACGACTTGATCACATAGCAAGAAGTATTCATTATTCGAATTCGATAAATTTTTCAATTGAATTATCAGATGGTCAAGTCTCGACAATTGATTCTGATAAACTTCATCGATTCTGTGTTGAAATATTACCTCAAATACATGATCATATTCAAATAATTACTCTTGAAACTACTAGTATTGAACGTATTCTTCTAGCTGCTCAATTTCCCAATCTTAATACTCTTGTTTTGGTTGGATTTTCACCAGATATACTTTCAAGTTATTTTACAGGTAAATTACAATATTTTTTTGTTAAATGAAAAGTTGAACTCAATTTTGATTTTATATTTAGAAAAATCACCAATTATTCATTTATTAAAAGAGCAAATCAAATTTATTACTTTGAAAATTCGAAATGAATTGTTTAATGATATATCATATACATATGTTTGTGAACGTATTCTTTCAGTTTGTGAAAAATGTATCTATTTAGATATTAATCAATCAGAAATGGTTAGATCTTCTCGATTTTCAATCGATGATCATTCTCAAAATATTTGTTATTCATCATATTTACATACATTAATTATTCGTGTAGAAAAATTTGATGATTGTCTCTTTTTACTTGATGGTCGTTTGAAAAACTTATCTTCATTGACAGTACGTGTGTCGTTTATTGAAAGATTATCAATAATTACTGATAGTCGTGTAAGTAAAGAGTTGTATATGTATATTCATAATAAATTAATTTTGTTTTAGGAAAAACTGTTTCATTTGAAAGAGTTCTCATTAGAATGTCCTCGTTTTTCAACTGCTTATGATTGTCAAATTGTACGACTTCTTCATCGAATGATTAATTTGAAAAAACTAACTTTATCATTTTATATAATTCGATTGAAAGTGATTGATGGAATCGATCTCAACGAAAAAATTCTTTGTCATATGTTAAATTTAGATAAATTTTTATTTGATATTTGTGCAATTATGCCAACATGGCAAACAAATGATTTTTTATCAACAAACGACATTCAAAATACATTTATTAATTGGAAATATTCTCAAGTTGGTTGTAGTATCGATCGTTTTTCTAATGGAATTACTTATTGTCATATCTATTCTATTCCATTTCAAATGACTAACTTCATGTATCTTACGAATAGTATTCGAAATGATTATTTTCCATTTGTAATCAATGTAACATTATATGATACACGTCCATTTGAATACGATTTTTTTCAATGGATGTCTAAAGCAATTCCATTACTTAAATATTTAACGTTGAGTAATTTTCTACCACAAGTTAAAAAACTTGAAAATCAATCATGTATTCCATATAATCATCTCGTTCGAGTAAGATTTACTCGTGCACATATCGATTATGTTTATCAATTTTTATGTCATACAAAAGCATATGTTCCACAACTTTCTATACTCAAAATACAATATGATAAATTATTTACTGTTACAAATAATTTTACCAATGTTACAACACAAATAAATTGTAGACAACTAAAACAACTGCTATTTGATGAAATTATTGTCTATCCAGAACATTTTCATGACTATTTCCCTTGTTTGACTAAATA